GACGTCGAGCACGTGGAGAAGGTGCTGCCGCAGCTGGTGGGTAGCGCGGAGCCCCGCTCTGAGCCGCGGGAGGACACGGCCGTGATGAGCGGTCCACTTGCTTTGGAAACTGAAGCACTGCTGCTCTCGTCTTGCAGCTTCTGGACTTCTAGAGACTCAGCTGTGAGGTGGCTGCGAGCAGAAGACACCACCCTGACTGCGACCAGCTGGGGTGTCATCCTCGGAGTTCAGCACGAGGAAGAGCAGCGTCACCTTCTTCTTCCTCTGCCATAGTGTCTCTCTATCCTCTTTCCTCTAACAAGCATGACAAAGGCCCAGGCAATTACCATGGCAGATGCTGATTTTGAGACATAGCTACCACATTTATTTTGGTAGCCAGTGTGTAACAGGTTTCCACGTTGCTGCCTCATTCCCTCCACAGTAGCTTGTACACCATGGCACCGGTAAGGTGCTGTTGCTTTCTTGGCTTATGTGAGAAACAGGTGCTGCTTAATGGCTGAAAATGTCACTGCAGGCTCTCAGCACCTCAGCAGGCAGCTGGGGGAGAAACTTAGGCTTGGAGCTGGACCCAGTCTAATGAATGGCTTGTTAAAAGAAACTCAGTTACAGGCTCTTGCCAAAAGCAGGTATCTGATCTTTATTTTATAAATAAACAGTGTCTGTTCCTCAATACCTTCCAGTATTTCTTCAGGGCTGTGACATCAAAGAATGCTTGGAACCTTTTAACTATTTGATATTCTCTTCAGAAGCTGCTTCCCTCTGCTATAAATTTGTTCTCACAAAGAAACATCAATAAATCAAAGCCAAGTCTCCTTCCCTTGTGCAAGCATTTTGCTGCAATTAATCATCTAAAGTCAAGTTGCTTCAAAGACTTGCAGTTTCCACACACACACATACACACACCCTCTCTTCTAAATCTTTGCAGGACGAAAGGAAAAAGGACAGAATAACAAACAGCATGTGTGAGAATCCCACATCATGGGACAGGCTGGCCCCTCAGCCAGCAGGGTGGGGGAACTGTGAAATAGGAAACCTTACACATGGAGGCAGGAACTACACAACTGAACCGGCTTTCTTAGGAAATACACATCTTGCTACAGGAAAAGCAGCTGGCAATAGTGTGCCTTAAAGAGTCCATGTTGCACTGATGGCTATTTGAAGTCTTTATTATATATAATAAATTATACACACACACCCCTCACTTGGGAAGTAGTAGGCAAAGGCTCAGTAGGTCACTGTACTTTTTCAGACACGAACTATCAAAATCTTTAGTCAGGGCACCAGCCACTGGAAACTTCTATTAAAGACACAATTTAATGCACGTTCTTTTTGGTGACAGTCCCCATTCCAGCAGTTTCCCCGTCCCTTTACCCTGCAGCCAAGGTAAGTGTTGGTACAATGAAACCAGTGGAAGAACAGGCCCAGCTCAGCATTCAGCCCCACAACCATACTGGTACAATAGGCAGCAGCCAGCTCAGCATTCAGCCCCACAACCATAGGCAGCAGCAAAAAATACAGGTAATACTATCTTTGAATGCCTAATTACTACCCAAGGGATGAGTTCAGCTACTACAGGAGAAGCAGGATTGAAGCAAACCCAGCTTTTCACATACCTGTGTGTACAGTTCACACAGTGACTTGGCATAGTACATAGCGACTTGGATAGGAATCCTTGGAGCAGCTTCCTTAGTGAGAAGCCTGCAGTTTTCAATACCATGGCATGTGCCTCTTTTCAAAGCATCCACTCCTTTCTTGCCTTACCAGATTTCAAATTCTCACCCTCCCTGCCCATTCTGTCTCCTTGGGACACCGATCTGTCAAAGCTGCTGCCTTAAAAAGGCATGAAATGGCTTTCCTGACAAACTTGGTTCATACATCAGCTTTCTTGCCTGATAGTGATTGCAAATGTAAATGTTAGTGGTAGAATGCTATTTTAATAGCAGCAGCTAAAACTAACTCTTCTTTGCATAGGGGAAGGGGAATAAGGCCTTTAGGATAGTTGTCAAAGGCAACAAGTTTCCATCCTATTGAAACAGCAGTGGCTCGTGGTGGGTTTGATACCACTGCCTTACACAAGGGACATGCCTGGGTAGAACGGCCATATGAAGCTGGCTGCAGAAGTCAGAGGCAAAATGTTAGCCCCTCCCCAGAAACATCATCCCGCCATACAGCTCATTACAGTATCACTGGAGAAAGCAGTTGTATCTTGATTTTAAAATTATTAGAAAGTTCAATCTGGGAATCCAGTTAAACCCAACATTCTTCCTGTAGCTGCTGCTTGTGTCCAGCCACAGCTAAGAAGAAACTGCCCAAAATTATTAGTGTCTCTCTGGTGCATGAGCAGCAGTGAGGTCCTGACAGACCAGACATTACTCTCGTTGTCCTCAGCCCTGTACTTAGCTGACAAGACTGCTCCAGTAATAATGTTACAGTTATTTGTGTCCCTATGTTTTTTCCTTCCGTTTGCCCATACCAGCTCATTGCAGGTGGTTATGGTGCTAGCTCTCTATCACAACTGTTGGAATAGCTAAGTCAATCAGTTATACTTGATGTCGACTGGGCTCTTCAAAGAACGAGACTAAGACACTTGAAAGTGTAGAACAACTTCCTACCAACTAGACTACCAGGTTTTATTCTAACCCAGTATATCAAGCAGCACTAGTGTGAGTACATAATCCCCTATCATTAGCTCTGGCTATTCGTTGGCCGCAAATGTATCCTGCACAAATACAATAAAGCAGCCCTAGCCACACTCTACCTCTGGATTCCCTGAGATGAATAAGCCTGATACAGCACCTGAACCAAAATGCAGATAGCGCTCTGGAGGCTTTGTCCTCACTTAATCCTCTGAAGTAATAAGCTTTAAGCATTAGTTTAATCTTCTTCATCTTGCTGTAGTATGCCTTTCATAGATGGTCATCATGTTCCAGGAAGGCTCCCTTTCCATAGAAAGGATTATTCAGAGCAGCAGCTGTATGCAGTGCTCTTGCATTCTCTGCTGACGGTGCCTGCACACATTCCATTTCTTCATATTTGGGTGTCGTATATGAAATTAATCTTTTTTTCCCCCCTACAGAATTCTGCTCCTTACACTTTGAGTTTTCTGGTTTCCTTTTTCTCTTTCCACCTTTCTTTCATGCTTCCCCCGCCCTCCGAGTTTCTTCAAAGCATCTGGGAACATTTGGAAGTAATTAGACCTGAAGGGAAATGCTGGCCAGGCTGCGAGACAATGACAAGTGCCAGGAACCCTGAGTGCCCTTTCTAGCCACTTTGAAGTTCATTCAGATGGTACAAAGCTCCATTTTACTTTGTTGAAAAAAAAAATAGGGGGAGGGAATGAGGCATGACAGGCCCAATGAAGAGGGAGCAGGTTCTTGTGAACTGACAGAGAAATACCATTGGGATGAAATGCATTATCAAAGAGACCGACAAGAGGCCTCCCATGGCCGCTCTGCTTTATTACATCTACCGACTGTGCAGGTGCACACATAGTTTAGGGAACAAGTGACTACACAGGGAAAATAGAAAACAATTTCTAAGTCTTATGGAACGGTAACACGGAACCCTAAGCGTCCAGTATGAATCACTAATTCATGGAGAAGACTTCACATAAAATACAGCATTACAGTCAGTGTGGCCCTGCAGATCTCATCTCCAGGGCAGGCACAGTTCTAAACAATAACATTCATCTCTGTACATCTCAAGAGACAAAGATCTGGACTACTGCTCCCCTCCCAAAACTCAATGCACTGCAATAAACTGCTACTCTGCTGCAGAAGCACTCAGACCACAGAGGTCAGTAAGATGGAAGGCCACAGAGAGACCCTTGCACTAGATGTTTTTACTCATTAGAATTGTAATTAATGATATTAGTTATGTGTAATGAAAACAAAACACAGAGCTTGAGGCATAAAATCTCCACATGCATTCTGTTAACAGTTATTGGTGTTCTTTGTTAACAAGACTGTCAACTGAAAACAGGTAAGTGCAGCAAACCAAGAGATTCATAGAAAAAGCCTACTTAAACTGTTATGAATAACCTAAAAGAACCTTCTTCACCCACTTGCCAGCAATCTATGCCCAGAATTACAGGAGCAGTAACCCCAACTAGCAAAGAAAGTTCTTGTTCTAGGCACATTTAACTACAGGTAAAACTAAATCAAACTGTATCTTATTGCTAGAGTTCAGGCAGCTAGAACATCTCAAGTCATCTCCAAAGACAGAACTATGAAGATTTGAATTTCAAAATATGGAAGGAAGCAAAATCTTTGACAGAGAATAACTAGCAAATATTTCCCCTCAATTCTCTATTCATATTATCTCTGCATGCAAAAGAAAAAAAAAACCTTTAACCTCTGACCCTGCCTCTGTAGTCAGGAAGACCATAAGTCAGGGCTTCCACTCTCCAAAAGATGAAGCTGGCAGTTCAAAAATAATTTTCTGTTTATAGCTCATGTTCATTTAGATTAGGATTCTCCAGGGTCACCAACAGTTTCTTACAATTCTGAAGTACTTCATCAGGAGAGAAGCACAGCTGAACGTTACACGAATCCTGCCGCCAAGAAGGTTTCATCTCTTCCCACCTAAAACACAAATGCAAGAGCATTAAAGACTTAAAACATACAATGTGCACTGCAGAGTTTCTGAATAACTCTCTTTGCTGAGGGCCCTATACGCCACTGCAGTTAGGCAAGAGTTTGGTAGCATCTAGGTGCACTTCTTTGCGAGATGGAATAGCGAATGCAGCACAAGCTTCAGAGCTGGGAACTCCATCATACTGACACACACTCTTAACCGTTCGTATCAGCTAGTAATGAGTGAGCCAGCTAACTAGGTAAGAATTTTCTTTTGGACTTTATCCAAATACGCTTTACTGGGAAGAGAAAGTTCTCTTTCATAAGTGAAGTGCTTCAAACATACTGCCATTACCATTTCCCACGTGATCTGCATGGGTGTCCCAGAGCTAGTCTACAGCAGAGAAACAGGCTGCAGCCTTCCAGCCTTCACACCTTACACTGCCCCTGCTGGAGCTGTCCCCACAGCTAGAGCCACCGTGGTTTCCAAGAATCAAATATTACAATTCTCAATCAAGAAGTGAACATTTGGCATTGTTAGCCATGAAATAGTTCTTCCCACTTCTGCTGCTGTGTAGGGGGTTGATTTTACTTTTTTTCTTCTTTGCAGCTGCATCAAAAAGTGAATATTAACAATCACTTAATTCTAGAATCTTTCTAGTTACTTCATACTTTGTGCAAGTTCTCACATAAGGATACATATAGTTTTGATAAACCACGAACAAATTCCTAACAAGCTCAGTTGCAAGCTTAACTGTGGAAAATTACTGCTGCTTTGCAGTAAAGATTAAAAATAACATAATCAACTCAAAAATCAAGGGAAAGGAAAACACTAACACAGACTACACCAGCAAAACAAACAAAAAACCTGACAAGGTTTAACAGATGACAAGGGCCCTTCATAAGCAGAGCATCATGCCTCTTTTTTTGAGCTATGCTGCCTAATTAACACCCTAGAACATCAAATGATTTTGAACATATGCATTAGTCAGACCCAGCACTGCATGGAACCAGTATTCAGATCCTTTTCCAATTAAGGACGAGCTTCAAGTCACACATGATTTGTGACTGGCCACTGCTCAACTCCATGCCCTGCGAGCCTCCCAGTGACACCTACAACCAGCAGGGCAACATTCTCAGCACCCAACACGCATGGCACAGAGAAGCCTGCCTTCCTGGGGAGTTTGCTACGAGAACAACTCTCCTCCAATCTCATATGGTACCTGGCAGCTTCAGCCACTTGGGTATCTTCCCAGGGGCCCTGCTCATCCGCTGCGGAATTTCTTGTCCTCTTGCTGGTTCCGGCTGCTCATTGCTCTTTCTGTCACTTCCCTCTTCTGGCTCAGAATCAGCAGTTCCTTCCCTGCCTAAAGACGGCGAAGCAGAAGGAACTACTGATTTGGACAAACATCTGGGGAAAAAAAATAAAGCAATGAGAATTAAGCTTTTTTTTTTTTTTTCCTCCATAATAGGCCCCATATACCACCACCTCCACAGAGTCAAAGTCAGATTGATAAGGCTCTTCATTTTCATGCTAAAGGCCCTAGGATTTACTTGATTTGTCACTGCAATCCTACTCCACAAAGGAAACACAAAGTATATTTGTAAACCACGACTGCATGAAAGAGAAATTGAATGCCCAGCATTTTCATATGACGTCCCTTTCTAGTAAGACAGGCTAATTTCATTCTTTTCTCCCTAAAATATTCACAAATAGTCACAAATTCCAGTCAGTCCCAACATACCTGGCTATTAATAAATCAGCTGCGGCAGGGGAAACTGCAGAGCACAGTAGGTCCGACTTCAGGTAAGAATCTGTTTAAAAGGAAACTCAATGAAATCTGAAGGCTTGTTTGGTAAGATAAAGACATATACCACCAGAGAATCATGTAGGTCTAGGCTCAGCAAATGCCTACAATATACTCCATCTCCATCTTCCACTAATGGAGAAACAGGATGCTTTTAAATTATGCCTTTAAAAAAAAACTCAAGGTGCCTATTTCATGATCCAAAACCCAACATTCTGACATTTTCTTTCAGTGCTCACTGCATCTCAATCTATTCTAGGAAGTTTTTATTCTCTCCGGGAGAAACAGCGATTCTGAGCATAAACCAGAGGTGTCAGGGAATAAGAGATTCATATCTGTTCTCCCATCTCCAGTTAGCCACTACAACAGGAGATCAGTAAAGACACTTCATAGTCACGTATGCAGTGAACACTTTGAACAATGGCATTTCCTTCTGGAGAGCTGGTCCTCTACCACTTCCATTACAGATACAGCGTATTTTGTAGTCTAAAACATCCCACAAGAAAGATACTAGATTTATGTTTTCGATCAAGCAAACTGAGGTCAAATCCATTCTCAGCAGGACCAAGCAAGTTTTCAGCAATTTAGAATGGAAACATCTATCAGCATTCTCAGGGTCTGCTTTATCTTTTGTTAGAAGAAATCTGGAGGAAATAATGTAATTCTTATGGGTCTACTGTAGCAGCTGTGCAGCCAGTTGAGGAGGGGAAGCTCACTCACCCCTGCTCTCCTGAGATCCAAAATGAATGACAGCAGTGGGAAAGAGGGATGCGAATTAAGACAAGGCACAACACCACAAAGAATTTCACCATACAGATGATAACACCCATAGAACAAGTGATCCCCGTGCCAATGACCTTTGTTTTCCTCTGCCCCTCTATGTAAGACTGAGTGGCTAAAAGGCAAAAATGACCTTATAACACTCTTGCCATTAGAGACCCCCAGGGTGGGTTGGGGTTGGAAAGGTCCTCTGCAGGTTGGGTGGCCCAGACTCCATTCACAGCAGGGTCAGCTAGAACTGGTGGAAAATGAGACTCCACAACCTGCCCATGTAACCTGTTCCACTGTTTAACCTCTTAGAACTAAAATAATAAAAGCTTTTTCTTCTATTTTAAATGTGTTTTCCTGCACTTCGTGTCCACTTCTCATCCTGGCACTGCTACCACTTAGAAAGATACAGGTCTGTCTTCTCTTCTATTTTAAATGTGTTTTCCTGCACTTCAATTTGTGTCCACTTCTTCTCATCCTGGCACTGCTACCACTGAGAAAGATACAGGTCTGTCTTCTCTCCTGCCTCCCATCAGGTATTTAAGTACACTGATAAGATCCCCCCCGAACTTCCTCTTCTCAAGGCTGAACAATCCCGGCTCTCAGTCTCTCCCGTTTATCGGATGCCTGCAAAATACTTGGCCCTTCATTGGACACCACAGAAATCATCATGTAAAGCTGCAATGACTTCAGCTGCAAATAAGCCGGGAGGGTAAGTACCACTGAAACTTGCTGTGCTGCTGCAGTGATCATTGCATGGCACTGCACCCTCAAAGAGACCAAGGCAGCAGAAAAACTGGTGTTGGAGCTAAGTGACGAATTAAACAGCACTAAATCACCCAGGCCAGATGGTATATCCAAGCGTTCTCAAGGAACTACAGAGTAAGAGATCCAGAATTAAGCTTCTCATTAAAAACAGACACTGCTACAAGCACGGGCTTCTATTTTAAAAACAGTTTGATATGCAGAAGATTAATAGGATATGGTCTAACCAGCATGGATTCTGAAAGAAAAATCATATCAAACATTACTGGAATTATTTTAACATGTCAGTATAATATTGCATAAAGCAAAACTATATTAAAAGAAAGTTTAAAGTTTTCAGAAGACCTTATATAAGGAGACTAGTAAGAATGCTAAATCATCATGGTGCTAAAGGTAAGTACTGTCAAAATTTAGAAAATCTAAGGCTGACAGAAAATGTTGTTTAATGGTCTATATTTATCCTGACAAAACAATAACGCTAGCATTTTGTTCGCAAACAAACAAGAAAATCCTTGCTCTTTTCAGAATATTGATATATATGCGAGCATTTTGCAGGGCAGGCTGTCTGCTCCTGCATTTCCTCACTCCTCCATTGCCACTACCAGCAGAGTCAAGATGCTGGAGCTGATGGGCTTTGAACTTGATGCAGCAAAGCAGCTACCGGAGCGCAGAGCACGACTCAACTCCACAGATGCACTGGGGAGTCTGTGGATGGGTAGCTAGGATGGATACTAATAAAACTGTATTAACTGGTGGCAAAATAGAATAGCTTCGCCTATCTTCCTAACTACAAATAAGTATGCAATATTCCAACTCTTTGGATGTTAATTCAAAGAGCGTAGGAGACTTTCACATAGAGAATGTCCTACACCTTGTTGCACTGAAGCAGGGGACGCACCCCTAGTCTATCCCACACCTCAGCTCCTGCCTAACTGCACAGTAATTTTCACATCCTTGAACTCACATCTTAGCGTCAGAAATCGTTATTTATTGAGTCTTTTAACATTTCCTTCCCCAAGCAACAGGGCCTAAGGTTGCCTGCTCGAGTCACAAAGACAGCTCTACATAAACTTTTTTAATTAAAAAGCGCCAGACACGGTTTAGAAGCCCCAGTGAAAACTCTCTCAAGACCTTTGATGTTTCCGCTACGTTCGTCTGAAGGGATCCCTCTATTTGGGAAATGGGTGGCTTAAAAAGGAGCCCCCACACACACCCCCTCCCCAAACACACATACACTCAGGCCCCTTTACACACAACATCCTTTTCATGCCAGCTGCAAGTTGGAAAATGAGGTTTTTGTAGCGTGTTAGTGTTGGAATTTTTTAATAACCTCCCCTCTCTCTTTTTCCCCTCCCGCCCAATTATCTTGGTAAATAATTAACATTCTGAAGGAGATAACTAAGCACAGCATTGCAGAGCTCAAAGCCTTTCAGTACAAAGCCCTACCCTTTTCTCTTCATTTCCCTGTTGCCGCCGTTAAAACTTCCTTGTCAATCAGGGTCTGGGCACACACATCAAAGCTCCATGTGGGAATGGCCCCAAGGGGTCAGAGCAAATTCATGGCAGGGCCTGCGTGAGGCACAAAGAGAGAAAGAGGGAGACGCACACAGAGCGAACGCGGGCCGCACACTCAGCCACACAGGCAGAACGTGCCCCGCTGCGGGGCTCGACCCTGTTTCCTCACAAGTTGTCTAATAACCCTAGTTCTGCATCTCAGACTCCACCTCTACAACCACTTCCCACCACTGGCAACACATCAGTCCAAACGCTTCACTCCATAGTCTTTTAATGGAAAGAAACTTAAAGGAACCAGAGAGCAGCTCACAAGGACATAGTACGTAGCCTCCTGACCAGGGCTCGTTCTCTCCATCCCTTTCCTTCCCTAGGGTTCAGCCAAGGCATGGGCCCTCCTCACAACGTGTCCATCCAGTGAGCTTCTCTTCCTCAATTCGGATCAAATATTGGCTCACTTTTGCAATCTGCTGCTTCATTTCCTGTGTGCAGAATTCTCAGGTTATCATTCCCATTTCAGCTTTTACTGAGGTTTCAGCACAGGAGACAGATACACCCCAGCTGATCTGTCCCAGGAATTCTCCATCCAACCACTGGCACGACACACACTGCCTGAGATTTTTTTTTGCAATATAAAAATATTTAAATCAACACCAACTTCACATGAAAAAGAAAACCAAGTGGAATAACCCCACTGACCAAAGAATGTCTTGGCATAAAGATGAGAAGGCTTTAGTGTGTGCACAGTCCAGGAAAACACACAACTCTGAAGTTGGAGCCTTTAGAATTCTCTAGTAGTGCTAAATATGCAAGACTCAAATATTGGGAAGAACATTTTCTGAAAACTGAGCTTTCAAGTCAGTTGCTACTTCTGCATTTGCAATTACTCTAATGCATGTACTGCAGTCCCTGAAAAAGGAATCATAAAGATTTGAATATGTATAGTATTTTAGAGGATGAAAGTATCTGTGCCTCAAAAGAGATTTAGAAACCTCTTACAGTCACACTGACACTGCTAGATTGGAGATTTTTGAACGTACATTTCAAACAGCTTGCAATTCATTGGCCAATCAGTTACATGCAAAGAATTACTACAATATGAATGAGTCCACTGCTCGTCACAATACTCAAATATCGAGCATCTCTCTCTCTTTCTGCTTTGATTTCCAGCCCCAGGTAAAATGTCATTCTGACTGGAAAAATGGATACTATTAATTCATGGCAGTGAAATATTTGAATCACACTGTGCAAGGTTTATCCCCAAGATTTGGCTTTTTTTTTTTT